CTAGGGGAACCAGCAGTTAGCATAATGGCTATGTCGCTGGACTCCCGTGTAGTCGACTGCGGTTCAAGTCCTGGACCCGGTGTCTTAAAACACACCGGGCGCGTGTGTGTGTGTGCCCAAGATCCCGAGAGGAGAATGGAGAAGGGATTGCGGCGTGGCCATCTCCCCTGGGGGGTGATTTCTTGCTTTCTCTCTGTCTCTCTATCTGTCTGGCGAGCGCACGCGCCCTATAGCAAAAACCTCTCCCCCAAAAAAAACAATGTCCAAGCGAGTGCCACACAGTGTGTTGGGAGGAGGTTAGGCCCTGCTTGCATTTTTTCTTATAGAAACAATCTGAGGCTGTAGTCCCAACTTCTTATATATAATTACCTTTCCTCTCTCCTAAACCACAGTCGTTCTGTTTAGGACTCACGCACATGTCACTGGGGCTGACAGAGGTGGAGGCTGCCCAAGGCCTTCTAGCTGTCCTCGGCTATAGGAGGGCAGTGCCGAGGGCTGCAGAGAGGGGACCCAGAGAGGCCCCGCTGGTGTGTCTGGTCCGGTTGGAGCTTGCAGAAGGGAGGAGCACGGCGCTTCTCGCGTCTGCTGCCAGGGAGTTCTTCACTCCTGGAGTAGGTAGGCAAGGGATTGCCTTTTTCTGATGCAGGTCCCCGAGCTGCGGAAGAAATCCCGCCGGGAGTATCTGGCCAAGCGGGAGCGTGAGAAGCTGGAGGACCTGGAGGCCGAGCTGGCCGACGAGGAGTTCCTGTTCGGAGACGTGCAGCTGAGCCGGCACGAGCTGCGTGAGCTCAAGTACAAGCGGCGTGTGCGGGATCTGGCCCGCGAGTACCGGGCGGCTGGGGAGCAGGAGAAGCTGGAGGCCACCAATCGCTACCACATGCCCAAGGAGACCCGAGGACAGGTGAGGCGGAGGTGGACGACACCTTGGCCGGCCCCTTCCTGATCTCACCTGTCCCCACGGCAGGGGGAGTGCTGGGAGGGGGCTGGGCAGAGGAGAGAAGGCCACTTCCGTGTGGAGTCTTCACTTGCCTCGTGTCCCCATAGCCAGCTCGAGCTGTGGATCTAGTGGAGGAGGAGTCGGGTGCCCCCGGGGAGGAGCAGCGGCGCTGGGAAGAGGCCCGGCTGGGCGCAGCTTCCCTGAAGTTTGGGGCTCGAGACGCCGCCTCCCAGGAGCCCAAGTATCAGCTGGTGCTGGAGGAGGAGGAGACCATCGAGTTTGTCCGGGCCACTCAGCTCCAGGGTGACGAGGTGAGAGGGAGGGCGGCTCTGGGACACGGTTGTACGCGGGACTGGCCGTGACGCTCACGCCCCTCCGTCTCTTCCCCAGGAGCCGTCGGCGCCCCCGTCCACGCAGGCCCAGCAGAAGGAGTCCATCCAGGCCGTCCGCCGCAGCCTCCCGGTGTTCCCGTTTCGGGAGGAGCTGCTGGCTGCGGTCGCCAACCATCAGGTGCTCATCATCGAGGGCGAGACGGGCTCGGGGAAGACCACCCAGATCCCACAGTACCTCTTTGAGGAGGTAGGTCTTGGTGCCCCAGGCGGCCAGGGGTCCTGTCAGCACCTCTTTTCACGGTGTCCCAAGCGTCGCTTTCCTGTCTTTCCTGCTGCATCGTGTGGTTCTTGAGAAGAAAGACCACATTTCTGTTCTCAGCCTCTGCTCTGTAGGGGTCAGAACGAAGGGTTAAAGGACTGGTCCTCCTGCTGTTTGAGCATCGTTTGTTCCTTTTCCCTGTCCTAGCCGAGTTACCCTTTCCCAGCCCGAGTCTAGCAGAGCGCTGACCTTGGCTCTCTGGAGTGCCAGGACGGCCAGGGCTGGTGGGGCCCGTTGAGGGCCTCGGTCTGTGGTCCTGTCTGGTCGCCTTTCTTTTCTGGTTTCAGCTTCTGTCTGCGCCTCCTTTCCCCACGCCCCGCCTGGTTTTGCCCATTTCTTCCCCTGAATTGTGGCTGGGCCCTGAGTGGCATGTCTCCTTCCTTCCTCCTCCATCAGGGTTACACCGAGAAGGGGATGAAGATTGCCTGCACCCAGCCCCGGAGAGTGGCGGCCATGAGCGTGGCTGCCCGAGTGGCCCGGGAGATGGGTGTGAAGCTTGGGAATGAGGTGAGCTCTCTGGGGAACTGCGGGTGAGGGGTGCCCCTGGGGATGGGGCTGAGTCCACACCGCCCTCAGGACCCCACACTGCAGACCCGGGCACTGTGTCCGGTTCCCTTCGGGGAACACCAGCCCCTCTCAGTTGTGAACGGCCCTTTGGACAGGTCGGCTACAGCATCCGCTTTGAGGACTGCACGTCAGAGCGCACTGTGCTCCGCTACATGACGGACGGGATGCTGCTCCGGGAATTCCTCTCGGAGCCCGACCTCGCGAGTTACAGGTGCGCACCGGCCAGTCTCCCTTGGGCTGGCCACCTCCCCTCGGGACTTCCCGGATCTTGTCTCGCTCGCCGTGCTTCCCGCCCAGCCAGTTTGGCCCTTGTCTCTGACGAGTCTTCATGGTCCAGGTGGCTGTAGAGCTGACTTGGGAGTCATGGCTGTGGGGCCAGAGGGCAGCAGAGTTTCAGAGGAAGCCTCCCCCACCTCCCCATTCCTTTCCCAGGTTGGCAGAATGGTGCCGCGGGACCTGAAGTGCCACATGGACACCGTCCGAAGATACCAGGGTATTCCGCTCGAGTGCCCTTGAAATATGTCCATGATGGGCCATTCCACGGAAGGGGCCAGATATGTCTTAGGTGACCTCAGAGGGCAAAACTAGGAGCAGCGAGGGGTCACAGGGAGACGATTTCGGCTCAGTACCGAGAGCCGGGTGGCCTTCGGAGCGGAGGTGCAACCTGTCCCCATGCTTGGGTCCTGCCTGGGTCCTCAGTGCGTCTTGTGGTGGTGGTTCTGCGAACAGTGAGCCGCCGTGCCCGAAATGCCAGGGAGGGCTGTCTGTTGAAAGGGCACATGTGCGGGGCAGGGCCAGGCCAGCTGAGCTGTTTTCTGCTCTGGAAGCTGAGTTTCTGGTCCTGGGAGATCACAGTGGAGCTATTGGACAGGACTGGTCCTTCACATCCTTGCGGGAGTCGCTGACCATGGAGGGCCAGCCAATGTGAGGGGGTTCGGTACCAGATGGGTTTGCCTGCCTGCGCTGTGGAGTGGCAGGGACTGCACCATCACAGCTGGGGTGGAGTCGCTGACCATGGAGGGCCAGCCAATGTGAGGGGGTCCGGTACCAGATGGGTTTTCCTGTCAGCCTGCCTGTGCTGTGGAGTGGCAGGGACTGCACCATCACAGCTGGGGTCAGTCACGAGTGGGCGATGCTGTGGGCTGGGCAAACTCCTGCGTCCTGGGCCGCCTCTGAAAG